TACATTTGATTACTCAAATGCGAATGAGTTTATAATTTCAGAATGTATCATCAGCATAACTTGAGGTGCAAGGGAGTAAATTCTGTGAGTTTAAACTCAGCTGATCTATTTTCAAGAGAGTGAAGATCAGAAGTGGTGAATTTCTGGAATCAAACCCTCATGTATGTAATTAACAGTTTATTTAAAGAGAGGATTCTTACCTAATACTTGAAAATCATAAGAGGCAGAGACTCCAGATTGAAGTAGTCATATTTTTTCCTAAAATGTACAAAAAAATAATTACTCTATTGTGAAGCTGAATATAGGTAATTCTTATCGGGCATTTTGTTGTGTAGTATCACTGAGTATTTTATGAGTTAATGTCCCATATTTTGATGAGCTGGTAAAGCGAGTCAAAATACAAAGAATGAGTTAAAATACTCAGCAATACTACACAACAAAACATCTAGTAAGATAAGCCTTTTATTTTTCAAGTTAAGCTGGTTAAGTAGGGGCTTGATTAAATAGATAAAAGTTAAAAATGCTTTGCTAGTCTCAGGCAATTACCGAAAATATAAGTTCTACAGAAAAAAATTATCTGGTCTCATACGACATAGTAAAAGGATTATACTATTGCAAATTCTTTAATGAAAATCTACATAACATGAAGAATACTTGGGCTGGTATTAATCAACTTTTGGAGAGACGAAAGAAAAATTCCAAACTCGTAACAGTACTTAAAAGATCTGGTACCAGTGAAATTACTACTCTTGGTCCTGAACTTCCAAACATTATGAATAACTATATCTCTTCTATTGGGGAAAGTTTGGCAAAAAATTTTTCCTCCTCTACGAAGCATTTCAGTGAATATTTACATGATCGTTCTATTGATTTTCTTTCTTTTTTGATCCTGTCGCTCAATCCGAAATAGAGCGCGAGATTTTTTCACTGCCTTATAATAAATCATATGGATTATATTCTTGCCAAACTCGCCTGATCAAATGTGCTTATTGTATCTTAAGCCAACCTCTTGCTGATCTAATTAACATCTTTGTGAGCTGTGGTGTTCACCCATCTGAATTGAAACACGCCAAAGTTGTCCCAGTTTACAAGGCTGATGACGACACAGAGCCCGGGAACTCAACAGGCCCATCTCTTTGCTTTCAACCGTATCTTTGAAAAAGTAATTTATAACCGCCTTATTGCCTTTGTCAAAAAAAAATGATCTACTATACAAAACACAATACGAATTTCGTGAGAAGCATTCCTGCCATCATGCTCTACTCGAAATTGTCAACAGAATTCAAACCAACATGGGTAATAAGTTATTTTCATGTGGAATATTTTTATATTTTAAAAAAAGCTTTTGATACTGTTGATCATTCCATTCTCTTGTATAAGTTATACCACTACGGAATAAGAGGAACTGTGGATGATTGGTTTTCCTTTTACCTCTCTGACCGTTTTCAATCCACTCAAATTGACTCTAATATCTCACACAAGAGGAAAATTTCTTTTGGTGTACGCCACAAGGATTTGTTCTCGGCCCACTTCTCTTTCTAATCTATATAAACGATATTCCCAATTGCTCTGAAATTGTTGATTTTCATCTCTTTGCTGATGATACCAACTTAAGATAAGTTGATAAAAGTCTGAAATCACTGGAGACTGTTGTTAATAATGAGCTGAAAAATGTTACTGACTGGCTAAATGCCAACAAATTAACTTTAAATACTAAGAAATCTAATTATGTAATCTTCCGCCCCTCACGAAAGAAACTAAACTCAACTATTGACTTAAAAATAATTGATAACAATACTAACACTATCACTTCCATGGAATATAAGGAATACGTAAGTACTTGGGTGTCCTAATATTGACAGTACTCTAGGTTGGAAACATCATATTACTTAATACATAGTTTGCAAAATAAGTAAAAAAAGTCTATTATTCTCCGATTTTTCCCTATATACACTGTGGCATAGTTACTTGGGGTCAGCTGCTGAAACTCATATGCACAAAATTCTTCTTTTACAAAAGCGTGTTCTTCGATTAATTTATATATGGTATAGAATAAAGGGCTCATACTATACCACTATTTATTTTTGTAAACATTTTACCGGTTAGCATGTTGTACCTTAAAACTGTGGCTGCCTGAATGCATGATGTATCATCTGGCATTACACCCTCTAAAATATCAAATCTGTCTACTCAATCTCATAAAATTCACACATACAATACGAGATTTTCTAATGCTGGTAATTATCATGTCAACAAATCAAGACTTAACCAACAACTCTCTTCATTTTCAAGACTTGGTCCTAAAGTATGGAATATTCTTCCATGTAGCTTGCGCTCCTTGCCTAAAAGGTCTTTTAGCAAAAAAGTCCATACACTTTTGTTAAAATTGCTCAACAATGAAAACAATTATGACTCTAAAAAAACGATTGTTGCTAAATGACTGCTGGACTTATGGAACTAAAACAGCACCTTCTATATGTATTTACATCTCAATAACCTACTGAAAACTATTCATACTTTCATTTA